TTAGTCGTGCTAATTGATTCAGTTCGCGAACTCGAGGAAAAACGTGGTGAAACGTTCCCCCTCGTCTTCAGGCTGAATCTTCAATCGAGCCCCCTGTAAAACCTTTCTCACCGTGGAAACCGAACCATCGAGTGTTTACCATTAATTCGCAAATGCCGTTTTTTGCGAATTCCAGCGACGACGACAGCGGTTCGCTCTTCGAGAAATAGGAATGGATGGTGATTCCGGTGGAAGGCGAAGGGAGAAAAAGTGGGTCTGGAAGGAGAGTGGATGGCTTGGAGAGGTAAACAAGACGTCATGGAGAAGGATATGAAACGATAAATGAGGATAAGAAAAAGTTCAAAAGAAGTAATGGATTATCATTCTTTTGGCTTATAAAGAATTAAGATAAAAAGATAGAAAATAATATTTGATACGATCCGTGGTAATTATTTTTATCGATCAATTTTCACTCGATAAACGACACTTTAAGATATTGATGCTTGACGAAGAAAATAACAGTCCTTTTTCTTAGACTTGACTTTAAAAAAAAATTTATAATCTTGAAGATTTAATTAGATAATATAGGATTCTAAGTGTGCAATTACAAAAAGAATGTAATTCGAACGATTTAAAAAAGAATCATATTTTAATCCAAAATAGCTAATCTAACCTATAATTGAATTAATTCTCAATTTTGAAAATCTTTATAGAAGAACAAACGAAAAGAATATTGAAACGATGATCTTGCATACGCTTGCATCTATAACAAAAGACAAATACGAAGAAAATAAACAAAATATTGAGGAAGTTTTTTAAAAAGGGCGCGAAAATTTGAACTTCTCAAAGCTCCACCGTGGAAAAGTGAGTCCAGAGACGGTTCAGATGATAATTTAATTTATCGCGGATGTGGTTTTTGCTCGGTGGCTCCCGGTGAAATATTTTGCACCTGCCCGTGTAATAACGCCCCTGCTAAATTATCGCATTATACGAAGGCCTGCGATCCCGTGGCCAGTAGCAACGCGCTCTGATTTACGCGGAAGTGACCCTACGTCATTGTCACGACCCGTTTAACCGTTCCGAGTCGAATCTATCGGCGATTTCCATTCGATCCTTCGTTGCGTCACGCTCGATTCCGCTAGATGTCACCGGCCATCCGTCTTCAATCGCGTGGATCGAAGTGGTGGGATCGAACCTCAATGGCGCGAAATGAAATTACGCGGTCAACTTTCGGCCGAAAGGAATTCCCCGTGAACAGAGAGATATCGGATAGATGGAGAAATCGAGGACGAAATGTTTTGAAACGTTTTCGAAAATTTATTTTTTAGGGAAATGAAGTGGCGAAATAGGAAAATTAAAATTACGCGGATTTTTCTTTTTACGATCAATAAAAATTCAATAAAAATGAACGGGGAGAGTTGTCGTAAAAAATGCAAAAATCGAAACGCAGGAAATATTCTTCGAAATGTTTCGAATTGTTCTCTTCTTTTGAAAATTTATTTTTTGAAACGAAGTATTATAGGAGTTGGAATGAAATAGAGGTTGTGAAATTAAATTACATGGTTTTTTCGGCCAATAGAAATTTTCTTTTCTTTTTTTTTTGTGAATACAGATATTTATCATAGACGAAGAAATTGAAATATAGAGAATATTTCGAAACGTTTCGAATATTTTTTTGAAAACTTTGAAAATTATTTTTTAGGGAGATAGTCTAGTATTATACTAGAAACGATGAAATGAAATTACACGATCAAAAAGAATTCTTGATTGAATTGAAAGATATCAACGATACGGAGAAATTGAAATTTAGAAAATGTAAAATGTATCGAAACGAACAATTCGAATTATTTTCTTTTTTCAAAAAGTTTGAAAATTATTTTTTAATGGAATAAAGTATTACATGTATATTGAAATAGAGAATGCGAAATTAAATTACACCATTTTCTTTCAATTAAAAATAATTTTCGATGAACAAAGTGGTATCGGAAATGGAGAAATTGTAATGTAAAAAATATAGTATCGAAAAGTTTTTAATTATTTTCTTTGTTTTTTTTTAAAAAAATTTAAAAATGATTCCTTTTTAAGAAAATAGAATATAATAAATATATAGAAACAGGAGAGTATGAAACGTGCAAAGCGAAAAAGCGATATTACTATTTTTTAGCAGATGCATCTTTTTTTATTTGCTTTTCATGGATATCGATGTTTTGTTTAGTTGATTGAAAGCCTGGACAAGGGTTTGGCGCACAAAAGAGCGTAGGTATGTAATTCAAAAAAATTTTTCAGCACAAGGGGTTCATTGTTATTCGAATTTTATCGCCCTCTATTGGATCGATTCTCGAGAAAGAACAATAGGATGAGAGAAATAGGATGTAAAATTAAAAGGTTCTCTTTACGGTTATATGTATAAGTTGTTCCAGATATCAAATATATTTTACTCCTACAAATAAAAAGAAAAAGAAAATGATGTGCATCCTTCAATTTAATTGATACGAGTTAACCCGAAAAAAATATTACGAATAATAAAAACAACAGTAAAAAAGAAACCTAATAAAAGAGAATCGAATCGAGAAACGAATGGAAACCTAATTTTTTTTCCCCACAAATTTAATTTTATTTACCTCTTCTCTGGCGTAAACCATTTCAATAGAATGATAAAGTTACACCAAAGTTATAACGTATTTAAAATCTAAACGCAAATCGTATCAAAATCCCACGAACAATGTACAAAGAATTTCAAGAATTTTTTTCAAACTTTATCATCTTTCCCTCCCTTCCCATTTTTGAACGAAATCAACCGAGCAGAATCAAACTCGTCCATGCCTCGTCACGGAGGAACTGGTCGCCGTCACGCGGGATAGACGGGTCAGTAACCGAGGTCACCCCTTTCGCGCCACCCTTCACTCTCCGACGAATGAAAAAGAGGGATACGAATAAAGAAGGGAAGAAAAAAAAGAGAGGGGGAAAAATATCAAACCCGCGCGGCAAAACCGATTAACACGCGCGGTTGTACGTCATAGAGTGGGTGGACGTGAATTGGACAGATCGATCGGCGGTATATCCGGCGTTTATACAAGCGCATTTGGCGAGTTGGTTGCATGGGCCCGGTGACCGATGCAAAAATGATTGTCCTGCGAACGGTCTGGCAATCAAAGTGTTAAATTTGCAACGGTGGGGCGAGGTGAAGACAGATTTGCATAGGAGCGAAGCAATGAACGGAGAGAAAAATAGGGAAGGGGTGGAGGAGGGAGGGAGCGGATAAAGCGCGAGGGATTCGAAATTTTATGAGCGGTCATTGTCTGGCTGGTTGCGCGTTCCAGGCGCCACGTAGGAACGGGAACTTTATATCGTGTAATAATTTCGAACGCTCGTCGTCGCGAGAGCCCCCATTATTCGACGCTTCAACTTTCGCGACGTATCGTCATGTTTGCGCTCTCACCTCTCGCGTCGATGTTTCTTTCTCTGGTAACGTTATACCAGGGGTTGTTGCGCTTTTCGCACGGTTGAAGAGATCGGTGAGAGGTGATTGCACGCGCGTGGCGGGTTGAATCGTCGAGTTGAATCACTTTGTTTGGCTGTAATTTTAGGGGTAGGCGGAATACATCGGGGCCGAAACTCGTTTGGATTTGAATTATAGGATAAAATGTAAAATTGTGCGGTATCGAGATTCGACTTTTGATTTTTTCGAGAGAGAGAGAGAGAGAGAGAGTTTGATTCAACCATCGAACGGAGAAGTGAAATTTTTTTCTTAGTTTAAGAGGGTGGAAATCATAGTGGTGGTAAGAGGAATTCGTATTTAATAAATTTTTGATGATTTCTAAGTATCCAGTGATAATCAATATCGGATAATTTAAAATAATTGAACTTATATCATTTATAAAAGATTACTTTTTGTAATTAATCAAGAATGAAATTTAAAATTGAAATTGAAAATTTTCGTAATTTCACTTCGTTCACTCGAACGTTTCCAATTGTTTATTTTACACAACGTCAAAAATAAAATAGATAAATGCGATTCAAAATTGTCGATCCTACGTTGAAACTGAATCAAATTTTCATAGAAATCTATGATCTAAAAAATTCCAACAAAGATCGCGACAAGATACATTCAAGCAACTTATTCCCTCGAATTTATTTTCAAACAGCTTTCCTTAATTTAAGTTCACGAAAATTTTCCTCGACATACGAATCTTATCAAGGTGAAAGAAAATACGACAAAGTTTCAAACTCGATTCAAGAAAATATCTTTTTGTTTCTCCCACGTGAAACTTGCGCACGATAACCACAAAGGCCTCCCATGTATATTCATCAAAACTTTTCGGATCACGCGCAAATTAATCGAGTGAAATCTAGCAAGTCTATATTCAAATGTAAAAAGATAAAATACGCGAAAATACATTTTTCATCCCTCTCTTCGCTAAAATCGCTTTGAAATATTTTTGCTACCTACACGCGTATTCAACATGCCTCGCTTGTTATTCAAATTCTGTAAATAAATTTCCTTTGATTCCCTCGTTAAAAAAGACGAGAGAGCAAAACTACATCGAACGAAACCGGAATAAAGGCAATAAAAAGTATCTCGACAACTCTCGGTGACTTTCGCAGCTTCCACTTTTTTGGCACAGTTTTTGTTCCAAGCGTGCTCGATTCGGATAAACAATGGTCGGTATTTATTCTCAAAACTCTCTTCTAGTTTCAAAGGAACAGACTCTGTTCAATTCCACGCGTTTCCAGCTGCAACAAATGCGACGAAAATATTCTTTTTTTTTTCCATCCCTTCTCGAATGACATATAGATATATATATTATACTCGTAACGATCGGATTGGTTTCCACTAATTGTAAGGTATTCTCGTTCTTGGAAAATAATTGATATGTCAATCCGTTCGAACGAAATCCTTATCACGGTAATTCGTATACAATATTTTTTTGTCCTTTTTTTTTCTTTTTCTTTTTTTTTTTTTTNTTTTTTTTTTTTGCAATATTCGTTCGAAATTTTATCGAACAATTATAGGGATCAGACTTTTACGAATCGACCGAAAAAAAATCGGCTTTCTCTCTTGATATCGCTCAAAGTGGATCGCTCGAAAATATTCGCATGGAATGTGTTGCGCACGAAATTGGCAAACCTTGAGCGTTGGTAAACAGGAATATTCTCGACAAAGGGGCGAAACTTCGTTGTCTTTGGGGGAAATTTCACGTTTTAGTTTAAAAAAAAAAGAGGGGAGGGTATGGAACGAAACAAGAGTGGAGTAGATCTTTCGTAAAAAAAACAGTGATTCCAGTCTCACAAAAGTCTCTCTTTGCTTCGTGGTTTATTTTATATACGTATACGATCGAGAAATTTTTGTTGCTGATTCGTTACTGCCTTCTTCTCCCGTAACGCTGTAAAAATTGTCCTCGTCTCTTGATATAATTCGTCTCGCGCGATGTACAATTGCGTGAACATGCACACACGTCCCTTTGGGAAGCTCGCCACGCGAGAAATTCGAAGAGACGTCCCGAGGAGAGAGGATCGTTTCGATTCCCTCGACATCCCCTCGCGTTTAATTCGCCACGAGGAAGAAAGAAGTTAGCACCATTCGAATTGCAGGCCCACAGAATGATCGAGACATCACGGTCACCTCAAGAGTGACGAGAACAGCAACGAAATGACGACGAGGACGAGGGATGTCGCTCTCACTTCTGTTGAACCACCGTGTTGCATGGCTGCTGGATTCTCGCCTGGAACAGATTATAAAAACGTGAAAAATTAAGTGAAAATTCGTGGAGAATCATGATTACAACGATTGTTAAGAAATATTAAATGAAAATTCGTGGAAAATTATGATTACAATGATTATTAAGATCTTATAAGATTAAATTCAAGAGAAACAATTATTCGAAGTTGGACAGATTACAAAATGTATAATTAGAAAAAGTGGAAGATTGGGATAAGGAATTGGGTTCAAGGATGCTTAAATTTTTAAGTGAAATGGCTCACATCATTATGAGTATTAATAGGAAATGTATTGTAATAAATTGAAAAATTGAATTAAAATAATAGTTGAACGTTTATATATATTGTTCTTAATATAATCTTCTTAATTGTTCTTTTCTTTTCATGTTTGGAAAGATAAATCTTTTGCATTTGTATAATTGTCATATGGACTATAAAACATGAATCTTCGAGATAGAGTACACGCCTTGGATAACCACGACATCGAAACGTTTCGGTAGTTTGTACCCCTGGGTGAAGAGCATTCAGCTGATATATATTCTCGGAATCTAGCTAACATATTCACGGAATCTATCTGGCATGTTCATGGAATCCACGAATCCAAACCGAATCTGCAGTTTCGGAACCTTGATCGAGAGGATCAGTCAGAATACATCAATAGGAAACAACGTGTTATTACATTCGTGAAACACTTTTGGAAGATTTTAAAGATCATAACAAACACAAAGGTGGATACAGTTTCAAGTTATAATACAAGATTTCGATTTGCAAGATCTCAATCATCCTCGATTATTCGATCTTCTAACATTTATTGTCATCAATTTTATATTTTTTTTTTTTTATATTTTATTTCTATCTTTAATTTCTTTCCATTATATCTCTCTCAGTTAGTTTTAAGGTTAGTAATTATTATATTATTATAAATGATTACATATGAATATCTTTGTTCTTCATTTAAATTGGTTAATCGAGATCTTATTGTATATAAATATATCAGTTTTTGAGGTTTTATTAAGTTATAAACAATTCAAAGTGCGACGAATATAGAAACATCTTATTTTTTTTGCTTCTAGAATCGGTTTTTCAAAAATGTTTCTCGAATATATTAACACCCTGCATATTCTACACTCTGACATCTAGAATCAGAATTTGTCGACTCAATTTAAAAACCTTTAGAGATATGATTCTGAATTTTCGAATCACAATACAAATCATTAGATATAAAATTGATTTCATTAAAACATTATAAAAAAATCTGAGATCATCCTGATCCTGATTCTTGAACTTTAAATTGTTTCCGTTTGGTTTTACGATTCTGGTATTATCAAGGTTCTGAAAGATGGTGATTTGACTTTAGTTTCAGTACTGTGTTAATAGTTTTCCTTGAACCTCAGAGTGACCTGGTTTGTGTGCTTTAATCCTGGATCGTGTTTACCATAGTCCTAGACCACCAAGTGATTTTATTTGGATTCAGTAGTCTTGATGTTATGCCAGCCGTGGTCATTGGACTCTGGTATTATTCATATTCTCTTAATTTAACATTGTATCTATTTTTCAGATTAGCTTATATTTTTGTATCTTTCAGATACGATTTTTATCTGATAGACTGTTACTATGTCTTTAATTTTTATCTTCCAAAAATATATATAATAGATAGTAAAAGATATAAGGAACAAGAAAAAAAGAACTAACTTTTTCTTATATATAATATTTCAAGTTCGTACGTTATAATTTGAAATTAAATTACATTAATTTCTCGACTTTCTTGTTAATCTTCTTAATCTTCTTCGTGTCACGAAATCTCCATCAAAACTGCACGAAATCACGAACTTTCCCTCCGAACCTGGCTTTTTAATTATTTCACCGCGGCGAAAGGCGTGAAATCGAAATTATAAAGTCTCAAGAGAATCCAATATCTGGGTTGGTAGCATTGGTCCAAAAGAAAAAACGCGGGATTCCGGTCGAGGAAAATCGTGCATGGATCAGCAATTAAGGAAATGACAGGAGAAATGGAATGGGGGAATGTAGCACGGGTGGAAAGAGAAGAGAAAGAAAAAAAAATGAGGACTGAGAGAATGATGGACTGTGATAAAAAAGGATGGAAAAATATCGTGAGACCGAGACTTAGATCGAGGATTAATGTACGGTTCTTGATTTCTCGCTAATCCGTAATCTTCTCTTAAGTACTCTTTAATTCGATTTCCACGTTTAATTATATGTAAGGAGACGCGATTGAAATTAACGTGGAACACCAGGGCCAAATTCGCGAGAAATCTCATTTGAAAGCGGGGAATCGGTTGGTAAAAGTGTCATCGTTGAATTTCAAGATCGGAAATCAGAACATCAGGAATTAGTGTGGGTTAGATTTTCGCGAGGGGGTGAGGACTATAAAACGGATCTTATGCAAATGGAAGAATTTCACCTATTCTTGGAATTCAATGGAGAAAAATATTACCCTTTCAATGGATGGATATTGAAATAATTAATTTCATCGATTCTCTTATCTTCGAGAAGAAAATTATATTAGACAGGTTGAGATTAATTTTTATTTAAAAGTGTTTATGGAAATGTTATGCAATATGAAGTATATTTATTACGAATATAAGAAATTTGAATGAGAGTGAATTTTATCTTTTTTTTTTTTTTTTTTTTTAGATCACAATGAGGTGTAAAAATAAAAATATACATTATACATTACACATTATACATATCAAAGTTATTTTCTATTGATCATATTAATATATTATTACTATTTTTTATGTAAAATGGCTTTTAATTTTTAGAATACGTTTACATAATTATAAATCTAAAATATCATAAATTTAATTTTAATTTGCAAAAATATAATTTTTATATTTATTGTAGTATTATAGTTATTGTAAAAAAATTATTAAATTCATAAATTAACAATAAAAATTTCTAAATTTTCATTGGAAATTCATAATTGTTTTATAATTATTTTTTACGTAGAATTCATAAATTAATAATAAAAAATTCTAAATTATTATAATAATTTTCTTTATATAAAATGGTATTAAGAATATTTCAACACAATTATAAATCAAAAATTAATATCATAAAATAGTAAATTTAACATTTGTTCGTAAAAATATAAATTAATTATTACATTAATATATACATTTAGTTCGTAAAAATATAAATTAATTATTACATTAATATACATTTAATATTGTAATAAATTATTAAACCTATAATTGTAATAATTAATTAAATGTATAAATTAACAATAAAAAATGTAAAAATTGACAAATTATTGATTATTATATTCGAAAAATAAATTTAGAACGATCGGCAAAAGACGTATATATTTCGTAAATCTTCGCGTCCTATAAATACGAGGCAGGTCGCAACGGAACGATCATTTCCTATCGAACTTTGTCGACGAACAGATCGATTTTATAATTTTGTAATTTCAAATTTTTTTATATAATAAATAATTTTCAATCTTATAAAATTTATTCTATATTAATGTTTATAATATCGCTGTGAAAAGATATATTCTTTATTCATCTTGTTTTTTAATTAATTTTTATTGCTTTATTTATTTAATTACCTACCTCATTCTTTTATTTATCATTAAAATATTTATTTCTTGATTTATTTTTTAATTTATATTTTCATTTATTTCTTTATTTTTACATTTATTTTTTGATTTATTTTTTAAATTATGTTTTCATTTATTTATTCATTCATTTATTCTTTTATTTATTTCTATTTATTTCCATATTTAGTTTTTCATTTTTTAATTATATTTTCATTTATTTAATTTTTCAATTATCTTTTTATTTATTTATTTCTACATTCATTTCTTCATTTATTTTATACTTTATATTATATATTACTTTATATATAATATTATATATTATATATTATATATATAATTATATTAAATTTATATTATAATTATATTATTATTATATTATATATTATATATAAAGAAGTCATAAGAAACTTTACAAAAACTTATTAATAAAATAAAAAAATGAAAACATATTAAATAAATTAATAAATAAATGAATTATAGTAGAAAATAAATAAATTGATAAATTAATGTATATAAATGAATAAAGCAATTGAATCTATAAAAAAATCAAAAAAAGAAATCATTAAAATAATTGAAAGAAACATTATTCATATAAATAAATCTTAAAAATATAAATATATAAATAATTTTTTTTTTTTTAGATTACAATGAAGTGTGAATCAAAAAATTCGTAATATTTCTTTTTTACGAAAAATATGATTTTACATGAAAATTTAAAGTAATGGTTTATTGTTGTAGTACAAAGAAATATATGAACATATTTTAGCTGCATAAAAATTCGCAATCTACCCATAATTTATTATATGTAAACGAAGAGGAACATTTTCGTAAGAAAAAAATATATTTATGGCAACGATCTTCCACTTCCAACACGCTAATTAAAAAATAATTCAACTTATTATTCAATTTTCTCGTTTCAAATGCAGATAGATAATATAATTAAGAATAAATTGAAGATTTTGCATACTGTGCAATGTTCTTACATGTATAAATTTAATGAAATTCCACTAAACGTTGGAGAAACTGTTATATATTATCGTATATAGTTATCGATAAGCATTGTTCAAAGCCACGAAATTGCAATCAGGAGGGCTATAAGAAGGGCTCTTCCACTATATTCCTTCATCATTTTCATTCGCCATATCAAACTTCAAACGATCGTCTCAATGAACCGATTACAGATTAGAATCAATTTCAATAAGCTAATTCATCCATCCAAGCAATTTGTTCTTTAATTGGAACTCAATCGAGAAAAAATTAAAATAAGCGACATTGATACTTTCTTCAAATTCAAATAATTAAGATTTAAAGCGTTCCCCTCTTCATATTTGAGCCGATTTAAGAGCACAACTTCGCAAGGGAAGCGACCATTTCCAAGATTCAATTAAGAGGTGGCGACAGTGGTGGAAAAATTTACAGCCCTGTTTACGCTTGATTCCG